GGTGAGGGGGTCTGGAAGGAGGGCTTCCCTAGCATGGAGTCAGGCCATCTCCAAGCAGGGGACCCGGTAGGACACGCAGGATACCGCACATGTCCACTCTGTGGGAGCCTAGCCCTTGGTTCCAGCTGTGCCCACACCCTCCGTAGTGCCAGGCAGGCCGGGAGGGGGCTGGCCACACCCTCTGGGGTGCCAGGCAGGACGAGAGGGGGCTCCCGGGTGTCTCTGGGTGGGCAGCGCTGGGCAGTGGTGCTGGCCCTCCAGCTCCCTCTGCAGCCTCCCTGCTGAGAAAGACAAGACCAGTGGGCAGTGGGTGTGGGCTCAGCTCAGGGACCCAGTGACAGAGGGTCAGTGGGAGGCCAGGCTGGATGGGAACAGGGCCCCCTCGGCATGGCATGGGGCATGTTTCCCTGGGTACTACATTGTTTTCGTTCCCTAGTGCTGCTCTGACAGAAATACACCACAGATGAAATGGCTTTAACAAACAAGAGTTTATTCTCTTACAGTCTGGAGGCTTTAAGTCTGAGTTCAAAGTGCCAGGCTCTAGGGGCTGGGTGAAAGCCCCTCAACCTTGGGCTTCAGCTCTGCCTCCTGCTCCCGGCCCACTGAAGCTGGAGGCTTCTCTTCACTCAGACAGCTGCTGGCTGCTGAGGCTGACAAGCCCAAGGTTGACAAGTAAAAAGGCACAGTCCAGATGTTGCCAAACCACACGACAGGCCACTAATTCAAGTCCAGGTGAAGTCCCCAGACTGGCAGGGCATGGCAGGCTGCTGAACAACGACACGGCTACATGCAGGGTTCAAGCCATAGGCTAGAGACTATCCCCAAGGCTTCTCCTTATATACAGGAAGCAGACCACATCCCAAAACAGCTACTCAGCTGCTTGTGGTAGATCCCACCATGGAGTTGATTGCCAGTCTCATCATGGGGAATAACTACCACCAGCTGCCCAGCCATTCAACCAGGCCCAGCCAAGTTGATATACAACCTTAACTACTAGACACAGGCACTCGGGTCTGGGCCTGTCTCCTGTAAAGCCCTGTGGCCGGGGCCAGGGTGGTCATCACCTGGACAGGTCAGCGTCCAGAGCTCCATGTGCCTCTAGTAGGGCCCTTCTCACAGCAGCCTACAGAAGGAGGGGCCTGGAGATGGTGGAGGGTGAAGTTCAAGTTTACATGCCTGGCTGTGTGGCATGTGAGGAGGGGTCTTCTGGGTGATGGCTGAAGGGCTCCCATCCTCCTCCCCGGGCAGCTCCACTGGTCACCGAGCACGGCATCCAGCTGGCTGGCACACAGTGATGGGTCAGTGTGTGACGACCAAGGCTGTGGCCCTGGTGGTCCACCCAAGGGGCCCTGGGGTTGGAATGAGGACCCTGTGACTCAGGGCAGTGGGACCCACTGGAGGGAGTGACCCTGAGTCAGCAGGGGACGGGGAGCCAGGCGTGGGCTGCAGGGCCGGCCCAGGGGGGACACAGGGGCCCTTACCCAGTGGGGCTCAGCCTGCCTTCCTCCCGTCTCCTCCTGCCACTGTTGGGGAGCACTGCGTCCGGCCCCCACTTGCCTTCTCTCGTCTCACATTTCCCAGGCTCCTCTGAGAGATGAGGGGCTGGGGGAGAGGGAGTGTCGTCAGGCCCAGATGTGTGAGTCGGCAAAACCCCCACCCCAACTCAGCCACACAGGCCTGACCTCAGCCCTGCCCATAACTCTTGGATTGACTCCAGCCCTGCCCATGACCCTGGACTGAACCCAGCCCTGCCCATCATCCTAGGACCTACCCTGAACCCTGCCCATGACCTCAGGATTGACCCCAGTCCCTACCAGGACCTTGGGATTGACTCTAGCCTTGCCAGTGACACTAGGATTGACCTCAGCCCCGGCTGAACCTGAGAATTTGCCTTTAAATCTGACCACGACTCTGGGTCGGACCCGCAGCCCTCCTAGTGACTTACAAGGCCTGTCCCCTGCCCCGTCCACTCCTCCCCCAACCTGGGCTGACCAGCGTCCCAGGCACAGGCAGCAGGCAGGTGACAGGAGCCAGGACACCAAGGCCTTGGCCTCAGCGGCTGGCTGGGTCAGGCAAGGGCCCAGCAGCTGTCCAGGGGTGCTGCTTCTCCTGCCCTCGTGCCCATGGGCACCCCTCCCCGAGAGACAGGCTGCTGGGGAGAGTGGGCCTGGAGCCCCCAGCCCTCAGTGTCCCGGTCTGAGAAATGGGGGTGATGGTGTGGGCTATTGTGAGCACCCAAGGACACCCATAAACAAGACCGCTTCCTGCCTGCCTTACCGCAGGGGAGGCTGTGACCCCGAAGGAGGAAAGTGGCCCTGCCAGATCTGCTTTATTGTTCCCAGACAAACAGATGTGCAGAGACAGACCCAGGCTGTGGGCTGCAAACGGTGGTTCCAAGAGCGCCAGAAACCCCAGCCATCCCTGAAGCGGGGCTGCATCTGAACTCGGCCTCAGGCGGGTGGACGAGGAGGAGAAGACGCAGGAGACAGGGGCCAGAGAGGGTCCCGGGAGGATCGGGCGAGCGGCAGGGAGCAGGGAAGGGCCTGCGTTGGGGCTGTGGGGGGTGAGACTAGCCAAGCCCCAGGGAAAGAGGGGGGATGTCCCCCAGCTGTCCCGGGAGCAGCCACAGAACAGAGCAGAGGATCATGGCCGCACTTGGAGAGAAGTTTCCAGAGGGAGGAGCTGCGTTCATAATCCACGGGGTGTAGACGCTGACATTGATGTAAACCCCAGGCTTCTTGGGAAGGGCACAGCCAGACCCCCAGCTCACCACCCCTGCCTGAGCCCAGACGCCACCAACGTCACAGACCAAGGGGCCTCCGGAATCGCCCTGGGGAGAAAGAAGTGGTTCCCGTTGAAGCCGAGGGCCACGGCCTGACGCCAGCTGCCTCCTCACACAGGTGGGGCGAGGCTCCCAGCGGGCCCCCGAGTCCCCCACCTCCCTTGGCCACTCTCCGGGCCAGGTCTAGGGGACAGAGGAGGATCAATGGGTGAGTTGTCCTGGAAAATGGCAGGGGTGGCTGCTCTGGGAATTAAGAGGAGGAAATCCTGGCCAATGGGATGGCCTGTTTTCTAAATAGAATGTCAGTGTTCCCAACCAGGAAAAGGAATACGAAAAGCTTTCATATCCAGTTGGTGAAGGACAGCAGGGACGTTAAACAATTGGACAGTTCAAGAGGACTGGACAGTTCAGTGCTCACAGGTTGCCGTTCATGCCACAGTCTCTCCACGTGAACAGAATCTGTGGATTTGTTTCCAGAACCGTTTCCTTCTGCCACTGGTCCAGGCGTGAACATCTGTGGGTATGGCTTTCTAGCCATAGTCTTTGTAAGTCCCACAGGATTACTGGGTGGGACCATGCACATAAGGTGTGGAGAACTCTGGTGTTGGGATTGGTTAGTTTTGTCACTCTGCCAGGCTTAAAATGAGCCCTCCTAGAGGTAGAGAGGGGATCTCACTGCCATCAAGAGAGAAGAGCTGGGGTGAAGTGGAGTGTGTCTTTGGACCCGAGATCCTGGCGCTAGACCTCCTTGGCAGAGACTCACGTCAGAGAGAGATGCCCGGCAGGGAGAGACACGCCCGGCAGAGAGAGTTGCCCTGGCAGAGACAGTGGCAGTGGGACCCAGAGGCACGAGACAGCAGCAGGCTGACCTGGCCCACGGAGGGAAAGGTGTGTGCCCTTGGACAAGAGGCTTGCTGGCGGAGTTGGTGCACGTAGGTGTGCCTATCCACAGAGCTAAAAGAGCTTTGTAACACACTTGCCTGAGCAGGGCGGAGGCCAGGCCAAGAGGCCAAGGGCCAGAGAGGCGAGCCTGAGGGCACAGCAGGGAGGACACTGTCCTGAGGGAAGCACTGTCTCCTGAGCACGTTCCGGAACCTCACCTGTAGCCTGTTCCTTCCCTAATAAACCCCATCATCGTGAGTATTGTCTGCAACACATTTTCGAACCCAGCACAGAAGCAAGTGTCATGAGAGGGATGGTTGGTATCAGAGTTGGTAAAAGGCTAGAGGGTGGTGGCATGTTTGGCCTCATAGGAATCAGCCTTGGGCTGCTGAGGGTGGTTCTGTCTTCTGCTCGTAAAGTTCCCGGAGGTCGGAAGATGCCACCCCCTGCCCTTTTAGCAACGTTACTAACAAGTGATGATGGAAGGTGGCCCTGAACAGTGTTAACGAATTTGTTTACTGGTGTGTCTGCTCTGTACAATAGTTAGAGCTTTTAATAATAATAATAATAACCAAGAAGACAATGACTACATAAAACAAAGAAGGGGAAGAAAATAATACTGAGAGCGTGTGTGGTCATGACAACCATCTGGCGTGTGAGATCGAGGGGTCAGCTAGCAGTCAAGGGCCTTAGCCACTATGCTACCCGAGCTCCTATATATGTGTATATATGTATATCTCTATCTATCTATCTATCTATCTATAAAAGGAAAAGGGTGCCGCATCTTTCAGACTCGAGGCTCTGAGGAGCAGGTCTGTGTGGCCACGCTGCTGTTGGCTTTGCTTTGGGTGAGAAAAGAAAGTTCTCGTTTTAGATGAAGCTCTATTCAGAGGAGAAGTGAGCAGAAGCTTGCTTTGCAGATAGGTGTTTATAGGAGCAGCTGAGGAAATACAAACCCAACCCAGCTCAGAAGTGTGACCTGCTCAGGAAAATACGTGCAAGGGCTCTGCATGTTAACTTGCGGAAAGAAAAAAAATTCAGGCCCAACGACAAAGCTTTAGGGGTGTTGCATGTCCTGACCGTATTTCTATGATATCTGAAAGGGGGGGGGTCCCTGGTGGTGCAAACGATGAGTGTGCCCGACTGCTGACTGCAAGGGGGGGATTCAAGGGTACCCCAAGGGGCCTGGGAAGAAAGACCTTCTGAAAAACCAGCTGTTGCAAGCCCCGTGGCTGTGCTATGGGATCAAAGTGACAACAGCCGCTTGAGAGCTCAGAGAGAGCACTAGGGGCCGGGAGCTGACGGGCGTCGGGCAGGAGCAACCCAGAGAAGCACTGTGAGAAGGGCTGTGCCATCGCGAGAAGGGATCAGGGTCACCGCGCTGTCCGTGCAGGAACGGTTGACCTGGCGTGTGTTCTGGGTGTATGTTCCCAGCAACAGCAAAATAAAGACAGATTAAAAAACAAAACTGTGACGTGCAGTTCTACTGTGACCCACACGGGGTCGCCAGGAAGCAGCGTGGACTTGGGAGACAAGACCTAGGAGTGTCTCCTTCCTTCTTGAATGGACCCTTGTAGGAAGAGATGCTGCCCTGGGGGTCCCCAGTGGGATGGGGAGCAAGGACCCCGGCCCCGCAGTGTGGGGAGATGAGGTGGTGTGGGTTCCCCCGCTCACCCCACAAGCGTCCTTCTGGCCCTCCTCGAAGCCGGCACAGAACATGTCATCTTGGATGATGGGCCCCTGGCTGGAAATGGAACCCTCCTGGTAGTAGGCCTCGCAGGTCTGGGTGTCGATGATGGGCAGTGACAACTCTCTCAAGGTGAAGGGTGGCGGGAGGGCTGGGTGGGTACAAGGAGCAGGTTCAGAGGGTGGCCACAGCCCTGAGGCAGGCTCCTCCTGGGCCCTGCTGGGCTGTTCCCACATGCCCCCACCCAATGGACCAGCCACCCAAAGCCATCTCGGGTGCCAGTCCTCAGGTGCCAGTTTGTGCGCATGAATTCCTGCCAACTACCCCAAGTGGTACTGCCTCGGAAACCCAAGGAGGGGTCGCTATGAGTCGGGGCTGACTCAACAGCAAACAACAACAACAACAACAACACCCCAAGTGGCAAGTTGTGTCCGTGTCACCTCCGTGTCACGGATGTGGAATCTGAGCCCCAGAGGGAAGCTGCTGGAAAAACTGAGAAGGGGGAGGTGCAAAAGATTTGAAGTTGAGAGAAGTGGTGGTCACACAAATTGTGAGTGCACTAAGAGCCTAGATTGTTCACTTAAAAATCAAGAAGTGCATGTTATGTGACTCACACCTCAGTTTTGGGAAAAAAAAGTCTGCTTGAGTATCATACTCTTTTAAGATCTATCCATACAGGATCGGATTGACCACAGCAACCGGAGAGATGAGGTAGGACCTCAGGGAGCCGTGACTTTATGTCCATGGCGGAGGAACCGCTCAGGAGAGAACGAATGGTTGTTAAGACTGCCCCCTGCTGGTAGCCTGACCGCACGGCCTGAAGCAACGTGAGAATGCCCTGCTCCTGGTGGCCCTACCTCAAGGGCTGAGACAGCAGCCAAGTGCCCGCTGTGTCCCAACCTGAAAAACACATGCTTCGGTGGCCACAACACTGCACTCCCTGCCATGCTAATGAGCCTAATGCATAGTCAGCGAGTTCCCAGAGAGCCCGTGCACATTCCTAACTGCCCTATTCCGAGTCCTACTTCAGCCCTGAGCTCTCCCGCCTCGGGGAACTTGATCTGAGACAGCCTCCACGCTCCTTGGTCGCTGGCCTGCAACAACGCTTCCTTTCTCAGCGCTCAGGGCCTGGGGTCTCTGCACAGGCCTGGACGTCGTGCCGGATGGGGAGCCCCCCTGTCTCGTTTCAGCTGCACCGTGTACCGGTGATCCCCGGCACTGACCGGACGTGGTGAAGGTGTTTGGTCGGCGCACATTCTGCACGTGTGTTCTCCACAACAGCAAGAATAAATTGAAAAACCCGACATGAGGGACACGGGTCTACTCTGACACACAATGGTCGCCGTGAGTCAGGAATGAAAAACAACCAAAACCAAAACAACAGCAACCACCACCAGGAGGACGTGAGGGTCGACACGGGTGGCGGGAACCTCCGTGGGTTCCGGCATCGGGGGGACGACGCCCAGCGGGCGGGGGCCTGGCTCTGGCCCCCTGGGACCCTGCCCTTTTCACAGCTCAACTTTGGACATTTCACAAAGGTGACTGCCGATGACAAGGCCCCAGTGGTGGGCACAGAGGCTGAAGCTCGCTGAGCACTGCTCCCTGCCCACTCTGGCCTGGTCCAGATGGGAGTGCCAGAAATGCACCCTTCCCTGAACACCGCCCCCATCACCCATGAGCTGGCACCCGGACACCTCGCTGGCAGATGAGGAAGTCAGGTGTCAGCAGGTGGCAGAGGTCACCTTGACCGTAATCGGGCCGAGCACTCTGACTCTGCGCTCAAACTCTTCCTTCAAGAGGGGTGGGGCTCAGAAGGAAGGAGCCAGGCTGCCCGGGGGCTGCCCCTGGGCACAAGGACCCGGCCTCTTCCTGGTTTTCATGGTCTGGACTCCCTGGCCAGGCCCCCGGCCCAGACATCACAACACCAACAAGCCCCACTACGCTGGATGTGTACTGGGTACCAACACAGGAATTACGTCACTGAATCTGTGGCTCGGGCACTAGCCAATCGGAGTGGGCATGTGCCCCAGGCCAGCCAGCACTTCAGAGGACGGAGTGGGGGCCTCTGGGGAGTCTGGGGGGTGGGCTGCTGATGCCCTGGGGAGGTCATATCTCAACAGCTGGCCTGTGTCGCCTCCATAGCCCCCCGTGTCGCCTCCATAGCCCCCCATGTCGCTTCCATAGCCCCCTGTGTCACCGCCAGGACCTGCCCCTCCCCACCGCCGGCTCGGAGCACGCTTACGTGTACTCGGGGCTATCTTTCCCCATCCAGTGACCCAGCACCACGTGCCAGGGCCCAGGGGGTCTCCAGGCCGGGGGAGGCAGACTGGAAGGATGATGTCGCTGAAGTTGACGGCTGTGGCCAGCTGCACCAGGGCGATGTCACCGCGGTTGTCCAGCGCCGAGTAGCTGGGGTGCACGGTGAGCTCGGCCACCCTGCGCAGCTGCCCGGGTTCCCCATCGCCAGGGTAGGAGGAGATGGACCCCAGCAACACTGAGTAGTCGGACAGGGGCAGCCTCCTGGGGGTGTGGAAGGACGGGTGGAGTGAGGGCCAGCGGTGGGGGTCACAACACTGCTGACACACCTTGGGTTTGGGGGAACCAAGTAATGTGTTCACAGGCCTTGAGTCGAGTCCCTGCAGTAGCCCCACAAGGCCCGAAATCTTCTCCCGAGTTTGCAGGGGCGGGGAGGGGAGTAACTTGTTGGGGCACCCAGCTTGTGAGCCGAGAACTGGAGGCTTGGCCTTCTCTGAGGTGGGGGCTCTTGGTTTCTGGGGATCAGTTCTGAGGAGTGGACAATAGGGGCCAGGGCTGGGCTTGTCTCATTCCCTGCTCCCCCCACCCCCGCACCGAGCCTGGGGCCCGGGACCATCCTGGGTGGGAGAGTGGGAGGGGGTGCCCCTGCTTCCCGTCCTGGCTGAGGGGTGGGGTGGAGGGCTGCTGTTCCAGTGGGAGAATGAGGGTCTGGGGGTCAGGGGTAGGGATGGGGGGCTGGCCAGCCCTGACTTCCTGCCGTCCCCGAGGTACTCACTGGTCAAAGCAGTGGGCGGCGGTCAGTACCTGGTCCTCACCGATGAGGGAGCCTCCACACACGTGGACCCCACGCTCCTGGACGCTGACCTGCCACGGCCACCGGCCGGGCCGGGCCTCCTGCCCTGACACGATGCGGCCGGACACTTGCGGACGTCCACACACTGCAGGGGGAGTCTGTGGGTCCCAGCACCCAGGCACTCCCTCTGCACCCCTCTAGTGCTCCAGACCCGCCCCTTGTGCACTGGATTTCACCTCCCCTCTGCCGCCAGGGCAGGGTGAAACAGGAAGCCTGGCTTGGAGGACCCCGGGGGGTGCGGGGCAGCCGAAGTGGGGGTGGGCAGAGGCAGAGGTGGGGGCCTGGTTGCTCAGCCAAGCACAGTGGGCAGGGGCAGGGCCTGAGTGGTTGGGACGGGCCTCCTGGGGAGAGTCTGAACCCTAACCCAGAGCTGAGTGCCACCTCCATGACACCATGGGCCCTCCCAACAGGGGCCTGCTCGCTGGGGTCATGGTGGAGGCTGGGAAGGCGCCAGAGTTGGGAAGTACACTGGGCTCCCACGTCCGGGCCCCTCAGAGGTTCTGCCCAAGTGCAAGGCTATAAGCGGGAGGGGGTTAGCCCCCCACCACTCTGGCTCTTGGTTGCTCTTATCAGATGCCATTAAGGGGGTTCTGACTCCCAGTGACCCTAAGTGACAGAGAACTGCCCCATCGGGTTCCTGAGGCTGTAGGCTTCATGGAAGGAGACTGCCAGGTCTTTCTTCCTCAGAGCTGCTCACTGGTGGGTTCCAACCGCCAAACGCTAGGTTAGCAGCTGAGCACTTAACCGTAGTGCCACTGGGGCTCCTTACTCCGGCTCTGCCTGGCCCTGAACCCCAGCTTTCCACCCTCCTGTGCTTGTTCCCTCCCCCCACGTCTGTCCTACCTGAATCCAGGTTTCTCTTCTGGGCACGGGAGAGGTCTGATGGAGGCACTGTGGACGTCTCGTTCCCCCGCAGGGGTCCTGGCAGAACAGCCAGCAGGGTGGCCACGAGGACCAGCTCCATGGTGAGTTTGGGCACTACTTCCGGGCTGCTTCTTGGGGTCAGAGTTCCCAAACTCTCCAGGAAGAGGGAAGATACTGCAGCTCAAACTGGGGTGGGGCCGAGGAAGGGAGGGGCAGGCTGGCCCGTGGGCGGGTCCAGTGCACTGGCCCCGCCCCTCCCAAGCCTGTGTGGCCTGGGATCCCTGACCAGACCCTCAGGCCCTGTGCTGGCTCTAATCGTAGCACCAACAGCCCCTGCCAGGGCCGGGCACCTGCTGCGAGGCTGGCACTGGGCCACATATGTGACACCTGCCCACCTGGCCTCCCAGGACTGAGGCCCCAAAAGGTGGATGACATGTCTAAGGCCCCACAGATGCAAAGCCAAGGAAATACCTACTTGGCATTGTGGGAGGGGTGACAGAGGCTGGGGAGTGCGGACCCTAGGGCCTGATGGGAGCATTTTTACTGAGCACCCCTACCCCACCTGCCATCCCCCACCATGGGGTGCACCAGGTGGGACCAGGATGCCTGGGGTGTGGGAGGCTGACTCGTTGTTCAAGGAGGTAGCAGCTGGAGGAAGGCACTCTGGTGGCACGATGATTAAGCACTTGGCTGCTGAATGAAAGGTTGGTGGTTCAAACCCACCCAGTGACTCCTCACTCAGTGACAGGAGCAAAACCTGTGGGTCTGCTTCCCTGAGGATGACAGTCTAGGGACCCTTATGGGGGTCGCCATGGGTTGGAGTCGATGGCACCCAGCAACAGCCACAGCAGCTGAAGGAGGCCCCAGATCCTCAACAGGAAAAGCTGAGGTCCCTCGGGACCGTCTCTGACCACCCACAAGGAGAGCCAGCACCCTGGTGTCCATCCCTCCCCGTGCTCACCTGGGAGCGGCGTGGCCTGGCTCTCAGGATGCAAGGTTGCAATGCAGTGAATCACTTAATATGGCCCTTCTAGCCACAGTCATTGTAACTCTCACCAAAGACCAGGTGGGAATATGCAAATGAGGTGCTTGTGGCCCAGCATGGGGATTGGATAGCTTGTTAATGATGCAAATAAAGTGCATGAAATCCTAACAAGGGAACTGCTTATCATGCTAAGCTTAAAATGAGCCCTCTCAGAGGCAGAAGAGGAAGTCCTCACTACTACCAAGAAGAGCCCAGAGTGGAGTGCATCTTTTGGACTTGGGGTCTCTGTGCTGAGAACCTCCTAGACTAAGAGAGTGAGCTGTAAATCCAGAAGAAACAGCAGAGGCAGCGGAGCAGGAGACAGACGAGATGGTGCGCTGGGCTTGCAGGCTGCAGAGCAAGACAGCTGAGGGCTTTCAAGGAGGAGGCTTGCTGGTGGAGTGGGGTGCCTCTGGGCACTTATCAGTGGAGTGAAAGAACTTTGTGACACTTATCTGAGCAGGACAGAGGCCATGGGGTTGAGAAGCCGAGGTGACCAGGGCCAGAGAGAGGTCTACCTGCAAGATTTCAGATGCCCCATCACACCATTCCGCGGAGGTTGTGGAGGCCAGTAAGGAGAGCTGACCAGCCTGTGTGCTGGGGGAGAAGGGCTTCAGGAGACCCTTCCTAACTCCTAAATCATCTCTGTTGCTGACAGAGTACCCCTCCCCACCGGCCTGGCCTCCAGGCAACTCCTCCTCCCAATGGGAGGTGGAGCTGAGTCCTTCCCCCGGCAGCGAGCAGCCACAGACTGGTCTGGGCTGGTCACCTGCGTGAACATGCTGACATCCTGAGCAACTCCAAATGCTTGACTCAGGTCAAAACTTCAGCCAGTGAATGTGCCAATGTGACTGCATTTTCTCCTCACTTATTTTTGTCCTCTACTTGCTTTCAAACAAAAATTTGGATTTTTTAGTTTTTTATTTGTTAGTGCTGCTGCTAGGCACCCAGTCTGTCCTGACTCATGGACCCCACGTGCACAGAGCAGAACATCTCCACAGAGTCTTGGGTTTGGGACACTGGTTAGTGTAGAAAGTAGCTAAATTCATATAATTATTTATCATTCTGAGATTATGATGATGAATATTTTGTGAATCATTGTAGCATTTTTTTTTAAAGGTTAAAGTTAAAACAAAATATGTAGATGAAAGCATGAAGTATTCTGTTTGATGGAACTTCCCTTTTTTGCTCACTGCCATGAGAAATTACGCATGCTTCTAGTCAGCCATATTTCCGGTAGAGAACATGAACAGCCCATCACTCAACGCCGTGAATGAAAGAGGAGTTGTAACCGGATGACTCCACTGTCAATCATCTTGTACAAAGAGGGAGGCAGTCCACTTTCTGTCCCCAAAAATTCACACCTAAGGAGTTTCACCATGAAAAAACTTCTCATTGCCTGAATCGCTTAGGATAAGAGAGGTTCATTGTTTGGGATTCTGAGAAGAAAGAAACAAGCAAATTTGATCAACAGAGAGTTGAAAAGCCAGTGTTTACAATGTCTACGGTTAAGTTAATATTAGCTTGTGTTGGAATTAAATGAAACATAGTTGGGTTTTTTGATGGTTTCTTGACTCTTTGAGTCCTGAACGTTTCACCCTCTGCCTTAGAGAAAGAACTGCTGGGATAATTTGGGGCTTGACAAGGAGAAGGAAGTCTTCTCTGATTTTGTTTGTCCACAGGGTTTGCTTGGCTGTGACCTCCTGGAAGCAGATCGCCAGACAGACCTTACTTTGAGTCACCCCTCTGGGTGGGTTTGAACTGCCAACCTTTTGGTTGGGAGTCCAATGCTGCAAAAACGGCAAGGAGGCCACATGTTCTGACCTCCTCTAACCCTACAAGGGGAAGGCAGGATTACCAGCAGTAACCCAAGGCCTATTAC